TAAATCTCCTTTAATGCCTGATGAGGTTTGAAGAGACCCAGAAAGATATCAGAAAGCATTAAATACATACAGAATCTCACTATGTCCTTCAGGTTCTCTGATCATGGTGCACTTTGCTCATTTTCTATAAGACTCTATAAGGGCCAGATAGTATCTGCAGAACTTTTTTGCTATTTCTGCAGAAAGTTTTGTCAAAAATCTGCAGATTTATGCTGAATGATTTTGGGAGTATCATAACTAAAAACCTAATATATGAAATAAAAAAAATAATACAGTTTCTAACATTTATTTAGTGTTTACAATGCAAATCCAATTATATCTACTTATTTGGTAAACAAAGCAAGTTTCTCATATAATATATCTACTAAAAGACAGAAAATTTTGCTTTACAAACTGTGTTGTAAATAAACATGAACATTATCATGTATCAATATAATTATATATTACTAAAATTAATTTAAAAACTGAATAAATACATATTTACACACATTTATACAAGTAATTTTATAGACTCAATGATAGGCTAAAAATCTGCGGTTTCTGCGCGCGCAGATTCCGTGTGGGCTCTACTAATAAGCAATAGCTTATTTGTTTTTGTTTATTTTGTTTTAGGGAGAGGCAAAAGGAAATTCTGGAGAACGATCCTGAAAGTCACCACTAGATGGTGTGATTCGACAAGCAAATGCACACAAAAAGACTAGCAGGTACCCAGCAGTTTGTACACACATTCCCTGAGCATAGCCTACTTTATTCACTCACTCACTTACTCAATCTCCTTCGACTTATTCCCTGCTTTATCAGCGGTCGCCAAAGCGGAACGAACCACCAATCAAACCGTTTTACAAATGGAATGCCATTCCGATTACTTTTCATGTTTTAAACTACACAACTGCTTTTTTTACGTGTGTTATGTATATCCTATATATATAACGAGTCGGTTCATAAACCCTCACGCGGGTGTGGCTTATTATTGCAACATTTATTTCATTTGTAAAACAAGCGAGAGGCTGAAACAGCGCTATGTGTCTTCAAATAAATTCGTCCTCTTCCTTCAAAGCACACGGGTACTTCCTGCCTGTGATTTTCTTCTTTTGTGACCTTCTGAAGTTTCACAATCAAGACAATAACTGTGGTATTTCCTGCATTAGTTTGCAAAACGCCCAAATAAAAATCACTGCAAATAGTATCATATTGTAATTTTCTATCATTGACATTCAATCAGAAAAAGGGTGCCTGTTAATATGCTCTTTGCCATTTGTTTTGATTTTAAAAATTACAATTCGTAATTAATATAATATGTTTCTGGGGGTTTATTCAGCTTTCCGATTTTCATATATGCATGTGGTGAAGGATCAAAGTGTTTGCACATGTTTAGAAATCTTTACACCATGTCAACTGTTTAGAAAGATGTGCTAAATGTTCAGTTTCCAACAGAGATTTAAAAAAAAATAAGATGAAAGGTTTTTTTTTAAAACAGTGATTAGATTTTAACATAAGTTTTTGAACAATTCTCTCAAACCTGAAAGTAATATAGTTTTTAGTTGGTTAGTTTGTTTCATTCCATTGCTGGTTAACAATCATGATGAGATCATGAGATGTTATCACCATACAATCAAAATAACTTTCTCTCATGACATATTTACTAGAGAGTGGGCAGGACAAATCGTTACTCCCAACAGACAAAATCAAAACCCATTCTGTTTATAAAACTGCAAAAACATGGTTATTGTATAGGCAAACCATTCTAACCAAAAAATTAACCACAGATTTGCTTCATTAATTGTTTCAACCTCGCTGTCAATAACGGCAGCTTTACCAATAAATCAAAGCACAAAATTTATACACTTTAATACCATGGTTCATTTTCATAAGATTAAATGTATTAAGGGATAGTTAATCCAAACTTACCATTCGCTCTCTCTCATGTGGTTCCAAACCTTTAAGTTTCTTTATTTTTTTATTTTTGAACAATAATTTTTTGAAGTAACCTTTTACCCCTTACTTCCATAGAAAAAAAAAAAATACTATAAAGGGAAGCATCACAGGAGGATGGAGAACTGATACATTGAAATAAATTATTCAAAGATGATTGCTTGGATTGACTAAATCTTTTAAAGTTTAGAGGTTGTAAACAATTTATTTGGGCTGAGTTTAAACAAACAAATTAAGTTGAACATTAATTTAATTTGTTTAAATTCAACACAAATTATTTGCAACAGTTTTGCAGACATAATTTTTTCCCAGTGTTGTAAAATGATTTATTGACTGCACTGATAAATGTAGATAGATTGACCTTGGGTCAGATGATTTGGAGCAGTGGTCACCAAACTTGTTCCTGGAGTGCCGGTGTCCAGCAAATTTTTGCTCCAACCCTTATCAAACACACCTGAACAAGCTAATCAAGGTCTTACTTGGTATACTTGAAACATCCAGGCAAGTGTGTTGAGGCAAGTTGGAGCTAAACCCTGCAGCGACACCGGCCCTCCAGTACCGAGATTGG